AGAAACATGGGGTTAGTATGTAGAAGTTCCTTTGGTAAAAGGGGTAATGCAATTTCCCTTTTAAACATAATTCATGATGCTTCTATATTTTTTTATTATTGAGTTTTTCGAAATACCCAGTCCAGATGTAAGTGAAATGAATGTTTAAAGAAACAGGAATTATTCCTGGAAAGGAAATATTCTCGAACTAGCTCTGGGTTAACTGAGCACCATGGGATAATTTACAACGCATCGGTTAAAATAGTGACTTCCTGGGGAAAGGGAATTTAAAATGAAAATTTTAAGTAAGAAGTAGGTTAATGTATAGACCGTGGATAATTGTAAAAAATATATTTTTTAAAGAAAGAATTTATAAAAGTTAGTTAGGCGCATTTCCTTCGTTCTAAAATTATAGGATCCTTCCAAGAAGAACAGCCATGTTAGGGAAAAGAGTGCAGGGGTTCTTACTGGGGTAAACGTTCTTGGTACCAGGGTACATAAAAACTATGTAAGCCGTATGGGTCTACTCGGATTGGAAGTTAGGTTACTTAAATCCCGCCCATTTGAAAATGGGGCAACGTGGTCTTGGTTTTTCTTTGTTACCAGGGGGGACGGAATTATGGGAGCGAGTATCGTTGTTTTAACGAAGAATATTTTAGCCTCAGTGTTGGGATATTATTTATCATGAATGTAGTTTCTTCGGGTTTTAGAGTATTTTTAAATAATTTTGAGATTATTGTTTATTAATGAAAATAATAAAAGAAAGGTAGGTACGCTGGCCGTAACACTATCTCTAAGTTGATTATGCTGAGTTTCCATTTGTACGACACGGTTATCGATCATTGTGACTCGATCTCAAATGTTTTGATCGCATGCCTCGATTTTTTCACATACCGTCTCGATTGCAGCTTTAAAACTATTAGTAGTCACTGCAGTAGTAGATAATGTGATTAAAGCTTGTGATACATGTCCCAATTTACCGTCAATTTTATCGACTCGCTGAGACAACCGGTGTATAAAGTCTGTGATAGCTAGCGCATCTTTTGCTGGCTGGGATAACTTGTCTTGATTAAACGAAGCTGTTAATAAAGTCATATCAATAATCGACGGTATGCGCCCAGGGGGTAAGGAGTCTTCCGCGTTTGTTTGAATGGCTTGGGATTGTCTGTTGCCAGGAATTGGAAATAATCTCATGAAAAGGAGTAAGGGATTCAGTTCGTTCGTCAGGGTATTCTAGTCAAGTATTTAGATGCTGTCAGTCACTCAAGGGCTCGAATCCAGACTATTAATTATTTTTTAATGTAGCAAACTCCTGTTTAAATTTTTTAATATATTATGACTAAAAAAATTAAGCTTTGTATTATTAAATAAAATTGAAATTTTAGCTTTCATAGGAAGTTGAATCACATTAATAAATGAGACTTTGAATATTTATTCTAAATAACAAACCTCGAACTAATTATGAATAAATGTCGAATCTACTTAATTATTCTGACAATGTTTTGGCTGTCCCCAAAGTTATTTTTAATATTTTACTCTTTTTAAAATAAATCAACTGACTTCTCTATTGTCCTTTAAATAAGTTAATTATTGTTAAATTTTATATTTGAATTATTATAAATATTGATTAATTTTACTGATCAGACTATTGATGGCTTCTCTTTTACAAAAATAAAATAGTCAAAAATATCTTAAGACAATTTTAGATTCCCTGACAGTGAAAATAATTGCAAATAATTTCAATAATAATAATAGTAATATTACCAAAAGATTATAGTATGAATTACCTATTTTTTGTAGGTTTAATTCAGTGACAGTTCCAGAAATATACCCACCAGAGTTAGCTTCTTGTTTGAACAACTCAAGCAATAGCTTATCAATTAATTAAATGGTACTCACAGTTAATTTCAGTTTTTTAATATAAACGAAATTTTTTGTCTTGAATATATTGAGCAATTTAAGTTAAATAAAAGAAATCCTTGATCTGAGAACCCGGTGGTTCTCAATATTTTCTTAATAATTTCTGCTTCCAATTTAGTAACTGTTTTCTCTCGCTTATTATTTTATCTCACTCGATCAATCTCTCATTCCTGTGTTTACACAAATAATTAGTAAAATACAAACACAAAAAGTATCAACTATAACATGTAATCATACTTACAATACGCGTAGCAATATATTATGTATTAATTAAATATGATTTAATTAATAGAACTTCCAATTTTTAATTTCACTAGTGGCTACAGCCTATGTTAAGTTGAATAACGCGTAATATCGTCTTTTGTTAATTTTTTGACAACAATACCGAATTATCGATTTGGCTACAATACATTTTTCCTGTTACCATTTCTAAATTTGGCCATGTCACATTATATTTATTAAGTATTTATTATTAAACCAGGTTAATTAATTAATTTATGTCACTGTGACATTGTTTACTTAAATATCTGTTTGTAAATGTAAATCAAAATTCTACACTAGTCTATTGTGTTTGGGTGTAGTAAGTGGTGAATAAACGATCAAACGGAAAACAGTATGGCGGCTCGGCGGTTGCTAGGCGACGAGCTATTAGGGCCAGTGTTGGCGCGGAATTCTGGTGGTGGTAATTCTGAAGGTACTTTTGGCGACCGAAACTCGGTTAAAGCGTCGCTGTTTCGCGCAGCTCCCCGAAACTCGGTGGTGAGGGGAAAGAAAAGTGCGGCGCGGTAGTGACGCGCTCCCCGCTTGTATACAAGCCAAAAACACAAAGCGTTCAAATTTTAATTCTCGCGCTTTGTTCAGTTGAATTTTTTAAATAATAAATTTTTATTTTTAAATAAAAATTTCTCTTGATGTTGATGATTTTTATTGCAAATGTGTCTGAAGGACAGATTTATATTATTGACTCGATTGGAATAAATGAAAATGATATAAATTTTTCCAGAAATTTTTTGAAATTTAATTTTAAAAATTTTTCTTTAATTTTTAATTTTCTAAAGAGTTTAATTTCGCCCTGCCCCACGTTGGGCGCCATTGTAACGTGGCTAGTCTTGACTGTTTGTAAAGTGAATAAATTTTTGCTTTATAAAATAAATTATCTAAACTTTAATTTTAATGATTGATTACGAACTGGGCCGAAAAGAAACACTCATTACACCCGGAGTGTAACCAACTCGAAGCCGTAGCTTATAAGAGTCGATGCTGCTCCAGATGCCTGTAGCTTTAGATTTTACGGCAGACCAAGCCGATAGCTTTCACAGCTACAAATAGCTCAATTGATTTAATTCGCGTTAGGAATATGGTCTAGGGCAATTCGTGGGTGGCGATACTCGTTGAAACATAGATTCAGCTCCGACTCAAAACCAATCTTTGCCGCGTACTGCTCCGCTGATTGCTTAAGATGGAAAATAGAGCTAAATGGTCGTCAAAATACAAATATTGAAAAATACAGCTAAAAGTAATTTCAATACCGCGTCCAATTCTTACCAATATACCACCTGACTTACAACAGGTACTACTACCACTTTGGTGTGCTTTAACGTTGTCCAGCGGTGATAGATTCCTCGTGGCTGCAGCTGGGCCGGTTACTGGATCAGAAACAGACGAATAATCGAGGTGACCGACAAACCAGGATCTTCCTCGAACAATGAAACGACGCTTTCCTCAACAACATGGCTCACTACTCGAGACCTCTTGAGTACACGACATGCCAAGCGAATTTATCTTGTATATGCGTCGTATTATTTAATTAATGTACGACATACTCCTTGTTAACTAATAATCAGATTCGTATCGGATAAATATAGTTTAAAATGCCGTTATTATTTAATAAACGGTATAGGTTAATAAAATACCGAACATTAGGTTGTAACACGGTAAAAATAATTACTTATATTTTAACAAATATATCAATTACAGAAGTATACATTATGAAGGTTGAACAAAGACTGAATGCACGCGGCTTCCGCGTACATTAATTAGCATTGAGAAGTGGGGATACGCTCTAGCGCCGCTCTCAACGATTTTCGTACTATCAACAATTATCATCTGATTTCTAATCGGACTTACATGTTATCAGCAAACGTTTAGTATCAGGTGGTAAGTTTCATTGAACACACACACACACACACACACACACACACACACACACACACACACACACACACACACACACACACACACACACACACACACACACACACACATACATACATCCATACATACATACATACAGACATAGTGACACCCTCGCGGGAATATTCAGGGAAGCTTCCTAGGACCTCAAAACGTCGAGATCTGATGAAAACTCGATTTTCGAAAAACGGGGTAAAAACAATAAC